ATCTATCGCTTCGGGGAGTGGTCGTGGTGTGGCGGCTAGAATAGTAACTTTTCGAGTCAATGCGGCTTTTTTCTTCTTCTACGATAGAAGTCCCGGAAAGATTTTAAAAAAAAAAAACTTTTACATTTTAACTTATTAGACGAGTGTCGTTCATTCTCACTAAGACTGAATAACGAGCGATAAACACCCGGCGATACAAAGTATCACCATTCGGATGAGAATCATTTTTGCACATGTCCCAGAAATCCCGTTTAACCGTTAGGTTATATTAGTTCAGGCCCCCGGTGACAGCCAGGGGTGGGGGGTTTAAAATAATAAACAATTGAATCCTAAATTGCAGCAGCAAGTTCATTCAGCTTGGTCTTTTTAATGAGGATTATTATTTTAACATTAAAGGCCAAACATGTCTTACTTTAGGAAACAAATATTTACAAAATAACGAGTTAAACCAACGCATCTATGGGATTAAACGGGTTAAACTTTAAAATTAGAGATTTTGTCTTATCAGTGCCGTATGTTGCCGTTGTGAACCATTGTATAACCGGCAACAGGGACACATCTTCTTGAGGCGACATCTGGTCGTGTTAGCGTTTCATTTGTGACGCACTAGATAGATTATTGGATAATGGATATGTGGCCGTGTGTGGTATCTGGATTACACACAAACGATCTTTGGCGGCCAAAAAAACATTGCTAGGTAATCAGCTTTAAACTACACAAACATATTTATCAAGGAAAAGGCAGTATACCGGCTTTTTTTTTTATATGTGTGTATGTTATATATGTGTTTATCATGCATAGCACGAACGTATATTGGCCTACGTATCTGCCTACTGCCAATATGTTTGTTTCCTGATCGATTTGACCCGCCTCCCTCCCCCTGTCCATCCGTCGTTTGTTCCCCCATCTATCTATCTATCTATCTATCTATCTATCTATCTATCTATCTATCTATCTATCTATCTATCTATCTATCTATCTATCTATCTATCTATCTATCTATCTATCTATCTATCTATCTATCTATCTATCTGTCTGTCTGTCTGTCTGTCTGTCTGTCTGTCTGTCTGTCTGTCTGTCTGTCTGTCTGTCTGTCTGTCTGTCTGTCTGTCTGTCTGTCTGTCTGTCTGTCTGTCTGTCTGTCTGTCTGTCTGTCTGTCTGTCTGTCTGTCTGTCTGTCTGTCTGTCTGTCCGTCCGTCCGTCCGTCCGTCCGTCCGTCCGTCCGTCCGTCCGTCCGTCCGTCCGTCCGTCCGTCCGTCCGTCCGTCCGTCCGTCCGTCCGTCCGTCCGTCCGTCCGTCCGTCCGTCCGTCCGTCCGTCCGTCCGTCCGTCCGTCCGCCCGCCCGCCCGCCCGCCGGAAATAAGTTGTCTATATCAACAATTGTGTCTTTCGTAAACATGTCACTGTTGTTGTTGGTTCATTCAGTGGTCCGTAGAGTTTACGTTCCACTGTTGCTCTTTCAACATCAACATCATGGCACACAGGTAGTAACCCATAAGTGCTCCGTTATTCTTTTAACTCAAGTCTGAGTCCGAATATACTCAACACAGTGCACGTGCTCCGTAGCACCAGCCAGGAACCTGAAATACTTTGGCTAGATTTTTAACTCAAAATTTTTGCCCGGGGCAGCGCCGTTAAGCTATTCTTTTCGATTTCTAACTGCCAATGGATTTTTTTACGTGTGCAACAATGCAAACGGTCGTCCGATCTCCCTACCCAGAGACCAGGGGGAATTACTAGAAGTCCAAGTCGATATGAAAAAATCCCAGTTCTTACGGGGGATTGAATCCGGAACCTCCAGCACTCGAGGCGGACACCATGCCTCGAGACCACGCAGCCCCTACAGTGCAAAAGAACAGATAGGGAATCCATACACTGAAAGACTAGTTCAACGGGGAGTGAGTAGAGGTTCTGGGAGATATTCATCATTGATGGGGAAACAAAGGTGGACTTTTAATTTGGTTTCAACTGGTACTATTAGCATGTCGAATCTTGGTCGGTTACTGAAGAAGGGGTCGGAGCAAGTGTGGGAATGACCCGAGTGCAGCGATGTAGGTTCTTGATTCATTCATTCATTTATGTAATACGTGGAGTTCCGGTCAAAATGGACGCTAGGCCGAGGCAAAGTTTTTGCTTCTGCCGGACGGTGGCCGCTGCATTTTTGCTCTATTTGTCGACTGAAAGGATACATTTTCGTCGCCCAGCTTCTGAGTTGAATGCATGGCGTGACACTGTGAGCTGCGGATTTCATTTGGAATGTTTTTTCGACTGTGACCAACGTAGTGGTGTGAATTTTAGATTCAGAAAATGGCGCGATGTCTGTCGTCGCAATGTTGGTGGTGCCCGTATGTGATTAAAATTGATGGCGTGTGCAACTGCTGATCTGTTGGCGATTTCTGCTACCATCAATGATGAACTGCATTTCTAATGTCGGACTGTTTGTGTTAGCACTTCGGATGGCTACCGTATGCTTTAATGCGTGTGTATGCTAGATATGCTGAGACAGCAGTCTGTCAATCTTTACACAAGGGACTGTGATAAACATTATGTGTGTTTTTCGTTGGCACAGGAGCGGAGCAACGATGGGGTGACCATTTTGCTATGAAGCTGAAACTAAGACTACCAGACCAGACAGGTAACACGTGGACCAGGCACAGGAAGTTTACTAATGCATTTTTTTTAAATAAGAAAGGAGTTATCCCCGTTTATGTTCTGGGGCCCCATTGTGAGAAGAGGAGGAGGGTGTGAGGGAGGGGATAGACCAACAGCCTGCCTAACAAACATGTCGTAAGTGTTGAATAATTAGGAGTTTCCTTCGAAGTCGGAGTGAATTGTGCCTGAGGCGCAAGGAACTAAGAGTCTGCATACAGATAGGACAAGTATATAAAAGGTATGTCCTTAACACAGTGAGAATCGGCATCTATTTTAAGGCAATGAGTACCGGTACTTTTTTTCTCAGTGTATAAGACACTTTTTTAAACAGTGAATACCGGCACTTTTTCAGACAATGAGTGCCGGCACCCATTCTTAGACAGTAAGTACCGGCAACCTTTTTTTTTAGACAGTAAGTACAGGCAACCTTTCTTTTAGACAGTAAGTAACGGCAACTTTTATAGACAGTAAGTACAGACAACTTTTTTTAAAGACAGTAAGTAACGGCAACTTTTATAGACAGTAAGTACAGACAACTTTTTTTAAAGACAGTAAGTAACGGCAACTTTTATAGACAGTAAGTACAGACAACTTTTTTTTAAAGACAGTAAGTACCTGCAACTTTTTTAGACAGTGAGTACCGACAACTTTTTTGTTTAGACAGTAAGTACCAGCAACTTTTTTTTAAACATAAGTACCTGCAACTTTTTTTAAGACAGTGCGTACCGGCAAATTTTTAGTCAATGAGTAGTGACACCTTGTTTAAACAGTGAGTACCAGCAACTTTTTTGTTCTTCTTTAGACAGTGAATACCGGCACCTTTTTAGACAGCAAGTACTGGCGCATGTTTTATAAAAGGAAGAGAGGAAAAGGAGGGGGGGGGGGAGGTGTCATGGTTGTGATTATTCTAAAATATTATACATGTTATAGACATTGCTGTATAACAAATCTTTTTCTTCTTCGCATTCACCAGCTGTAAACTCTGGCAGAAAGTTCTGGTTGTTCGTCCACTTCTGGACTGCAGTCCTGTTCCAGATGGTGAGTGCTGCGTGTGCATCTTTTTGATAGATATGACTAATTTGTATGCAGACTGTTGGTTCCTTGCCTCTCTGGCAGATGCACTCCGACTTTAAAGGAAGCTCCTAATTAGTCGACTCTTACGATATGCTATTGGGTAGGCAGTGGGTCTATTCTTGTTTTCGCCCGGCTCGCTAGCGTGGTTGGCTAAACCTGACTTCGCGGCGACCGGATGACGAACTCATTGTGGTTCAGGTTCACGTCCGGAGGTAGGCAGAAAAGCCACATTTCTCCCAGATTTACGGAATCAAGACCGAAGGGTTGCGATATTCATAATACCGAGCCAAAGGGTTAACAATTCATGGTTTATGGAAAATAAAAAAAAATAAAAATTATTGTTGTCGCCTTACAGGGCCCCGAGACCCACCCTCAAAATAAAACATTGACTTTTTTTTTTTTTTGGTCGTGTGTGTGTGTGTGAAGTCGGCTCTGTGGCTAAGTCGATGCGAACACTTCGCTTCGTAATGCCGGGATGCCGGGTTCGATCCCAGCTGCGGGCAATGCGCCTTGCGTTGGTTTCGACAGTGATATCAAGAAAGCCGACCGTCCAGGAAGCAATGGCAAACTACTGGACGTAATTTGCCTAGAGAAACCACACAACAGCCAGGGGCTGTTAGGGTTGGTTCTGCAACGTCCTGTAAAGGATACGCAACAATCTTTGTGTGTGTGAAAAGAATGATTGCCTTGTTACTTCAAAGTAACATTGAACTTATAATGTAAGAGAAAGTCTCTCCCCCCCCCCCCCTCCCTCTCCCCCTTTCCAACCTTTTTTTTTCCCATTCCAGGATTTGGGCACAGAATAGATAGAAAAACCACACAAACCACAAAAAGGGAAACCCCTCTTACACCAATCTGTGTCAAACCCGGGAACACCCTGTTTGCCATTGGTCAACGAAAATTAAACCTACACGTGTCCCCACGACATGTCGCAAGCACATAAAGTCCAACCCCTTTACTTTATGTATATCAAAACCAATTTTATCTCAAACTTCGTATTTAGAACTCTATAAAAGGATTTATAATTTATATTATATTACGGAATTAGTGTAATATTTAGCAAGTTTTAGATAAAATTATTGTAATTCTAAGCGGAAGGATTTGATCGACTCCGCCAGTAAAGAAAGTAGGACGTATATGAGCAGCAGACGACGGGAGGCGAGGAGGACGAGACACATCCATCAGAGAAGTTGGGCAAGACGTTGACGGCCATCCCATCCCATCCGTTGAGGGTTTAGTATCTTGTTTACTAACCCCCGGGGACACTGCGATCATGGACCTCCTGTACGGATACGATAAAAGACACAGTTATATGGAGCAGACAGATATGGTTGATTTTTTGGACCCGAACGATATGTTTCATGCCCATATGGTAAGTTGACCGTTTTTTCTTTTTTAAATCGTTCCTTTTTTGCTGATGAAATTGTTTGCAAAAAGGGGGAGGGGGGGGGGGGGGGGTGTCTTCTGTGAAGCGTGCTTGAAAACAGTAACGTCAGTAACAGAATGATCATAACGGTTATTCATAACCAAAGCCGTGCTAGAATTAACAGCGAAATAAAAATTTGAAACAGGCATGGAGGTGTGTCAGCACAGTAAAACATGCTGCAGGAGATCGTAGATTGCGGAGAGGCATGATCGCCCACGGCAGTCAACACCTGATGAAGATGATGATGATGTATCAGTAGTAACATTTAATAGTGCTGGTTATAAAAATATATATCCTGTTCAACCCTTACTGTATAAGTAAAGTGAGAGACCCCTTGTCACGCCACCGACACAGCGGGCCTATCTAGCTACTTACATTTGTGTAGACCTTGAAGTGTGATGTGGTCAACATCTCGCCGGCCGCCTTCATTTCCCAAGACTTTACCCATTAAAGACTGGGAGCCAAATCCTTTTGAATAAAGAACCCGAACTTGAAGTGGATTCGAACCCAAGACTTTCAGGCCAGAGGCGGAGCGTCTAGCTTCTACACCGTCGCGGCTATCTCTAGGCTAAATAGTTGAGATAGAAATAGTCTCCGTTGTATTTTGAAATTTCTGTATATATTTTTGCTTTTTCATATATTCATATCTCAGATAGGTTAATTCAGTCTTTGTGTTGCTTATAAGTTATATAATAATTCAGTATATTATTTGAAATGTTATCACGTAAATACTTTCTACGTTATAATGAGAAGTGATGGTGTATAATCGTTACAATGAGGCATGGTCTTCTTATCTATAGGCTAATGCTGGGCAAAAGGTTTCAAGATGGTTAAGATCGTGGTCAGGAAAGGAAGGGGGCGGGGGTGTCTAATCCCGGTTGGTTGAATCCTCGGTAAGGGACAGAGATTGTTTCTGCTGGAGGGCAAAGATAAAAATCTTAACCTGACGACTGTAGTAGACGTGCGACCTTGAATCCCCAGCCTCCTCCAACCTACATGACCTTAAAGTAGAAAAGTGGTAAATACAGCCAGTAAAGAGAGTTTTTTTTTTTAAAGTAGATAAATTTGTGAAATTAATGTTAAAGTAGAATTTTAAACAATAAGATTCTGTTCAACCCATCCTGCTTATAATTGGGATGTACAGAGTGTATCATTTTCATTAATAGATATTTATGCCGTCAATCTGTTTTTTGTTATTCAGTACTGCAGATTGTTTAGTTTAATATTTAAAGTGTACCTTTGAAACATTTTTAGTAATTATATTGTGCAGTCTGTCTTTGCGGTTATTCAAAGTGCTGCAGGTTACTATTATTCTGACTTAAGATATATTAACACCTCATGTTCTAACCTTTGTTCTTATAATGTTTTGTTTAATCCTTACCTGTAGTTCTATAGAGCTGTCTATTGCCAGTATGTTTCATATTGTCATAGGCTTATTGCAGCAGGCCATAAATTCATTAGAGAAGTCCTTTGGAGTTCATATTTTTTGCTGTGAAAGAAATAATGTTGTTATTTATCTGACATACAGAGCAGGTGTATTCTCCTAGTCTTCTTTTTTTTTTCTTTTTAGTGTTAACCAATTGTAAGCTCTGGCAGAAAGTTCTGGTTGTTTACCCGCTTCTGGACTTTAGTGTTGCAAAACATAAACAAAACATAACATAATCAAACAAGAAACGCAACAAAATGACCCCTTGTAATTGAAAAACAAATACTCATCCTACTCACAAGTCACTGCCTGTAATCTTGCCGGCAACATCAGATTGGTCAGAATATCAGATATCCTAATCAAAATATCAAATGTCTTCATGAAAGTAAAAAAATCAAATGTTTTCATCAAAATATCAAATATCAGAGGGAATGTTAACATCATGAGAGCCAATTTCTATCCCAGACCTGACACCTGAACAAGAAAAATTATTAGCATGGCTGTCATGAAAGCTATTTAGCCCATTTGAAACTAGGTATTTATTAAATCCTGTTTGTAAGAGGGATATTGAATACAGCTTTCATGAAATTTAGTACACTTTTCAAACTTAGGCAGTTGTTATTATTATTATTATTAATTCTCAAGACTTGTTACTTAAAATAAATCTACATAAGTAAAAAATAAAACAAAAAATAACATGTGAGACATGTTTGGTTAACTCTTTCAGTTCCAAAAAAATTATATTCCACATTGTGTTTAGCCTAGGTGAAAATGATGCTTTCGACTCCTTTAGTAGAAATAATTGCACAAAATGTATTTGGCCTTCTTTGCAGCCAACACATATTATGTTCTCTTGCTTTTCACATTTGATCACAAGATACTGTAAAAATGTGGCTTTCCGGGGAGGGGGGGGGGGAACTTCCTTTATATATTTAGTAGATTTAAAGCAACACACTTGTAGGGGCCACATTAGCGCAGTCGATAGGAGACTCGCTTTCAAATCCAGCTGCGACTCGCTGCAGCCTATGACTGGTGTTCGAAACCGGGTGTTTTCCGGGGTTGACCCAGCCTCTAGGTAATGGGTACCAGAGTTAACACTCTAGGGTAAATGGAGGAACGTTGTTGTAGCTAGGGAGTTGTGTGCAGATGGTGACACAGGCCGACAGTTTCTTATCAGCTGTCCGTACTGGTGGCAGAGCATTTATGGTTTGTAACCGTGTGCATTGATGCTGGTTCACATCTCCTGACTTTACTTTTAGCTTTACTTTAAAACAACACAGATTTTTTAAAATGATTTTAATTTCCTCCAATGAAAAACAACTGCTGAATCTTTTGCAGTGTTCTCCTCCTTTTTATTGCATGAGACCAGGATAATATGGCTTCCCTGGGGGAGAATCACTGTTGTTGAGCTTTAGGAGAGACTAAACAAATTCTAGTTAAATCACAGGTGAATAAAAGACACTACTGTTGGATAGGACACATGCTGAGAAAACCTGAAAACAGTGTAACTAAAGGGCTTTACACTGGAACCCACCAGGCATAGAAATAAGGGTAGCCTCAAGAACACATGGAGAAGGCAGCCAGAGGGTGTATAGGTGGAAAGGACATGCTGCATGAAATAGCAAAATATAGGATGACTTAGCAGGAGTTATATTGAGTTGTCGATTCAAGAACTGACATCACAGCACTAGGGGCATTACCATAAGTGCTCCATTCCAATCTTTAGCAGCCAGCACAGAGTCCCAGTCTTAATAAGGCCAGTAGCATTTTGATTATACATCTATCTTGTCTTTCCTCTGAACGTTGAGTATCGGCCAGATCCCCTCGTCGCTCCCCTCTGCATCAGACTGTGGTGACCCATTTACACCTCCGAATTGTACACGTGCTCCCATACGGCCCTAACTGCATTTGCCTTATCATGCATCAATATTCCACCAAGTTGTGCAGAGCCAGTCTGTCTGCCTGTTCATTTCCCAACACACCAGCATAGGAAAAGATCCAGACAGTGCTCCTCACCTGTGACCTCCATAGCTGTTTGAAGGCCTATGCTTGATCGGGGGATACAGGGAAGAAGAAGAAAAGGAGGATGAAGAAAGAACACATCCATGTTAGAAGACATCAAGGACATTAAATTGTCTTCAGGAACACCAAGCAACATTTGAGGAATTGTTTGGTACCATAAGAGTTAATTCAATGTTTTTTTTAAAAGTATTTCTCAGAATATTTCATTGTACTTATTGTAGGCTGCATCCATCTGAACTCCAGGTCTATTTTACCAATGGGAATTTGAATATATTACCTCTAGGCTGAAAGGTAAGTGGGCTAGCCACTGAGATACCTGGCTTATGATGTTGCAAGTAAAGGACCTTTCCATGCCTTCAGGCGTATTGGGCATATAGGGCTAGACCTATATTTTATAGACCAATCGGCACTCGGTGGGTTATGTGGTCAGCATGACTCTGGCCTCCTTTACTTCCCAGGACTCCATCTGGTACCGATTCAATGCTGGTTCAACCTGGGAACCAAGGTCATTTTTTGAAATAAGTCTAGTACCATCAGAAAATGAACTCATGGCCTTCCAATCCACAGGTAAGCATCTAACAGCTGCACTATGGCGGCTCCTGATGTTGCTAGTGACATGATAAATAAACCGATTATTACACATGGTGCATGAGTTTAGTGTAATTAGATCAGTCAAATTAAACACTGTGCCAAGATGGTTTGCAAAGGATTGTAGTACTAAAGTGAGAATGGCTACACTTTTTCAAACTGGTATGGTCACTGGCAAGAATAGTCATGATTTCTCAACTTATACAACTTCAGATAAATGGAGTGATGTGATTCTGATGATTATGCAAACAGAGCACTTAAAGTTGATATCTGCCAGGAAATCTTTTATAAAGAGCACTTTCAAAAATGCACATGTACATTTTTACCCTGCTGTTGTAGAATGTTATTTAGAGAGCCTTACCTTAGAGCACTTGTCTTTAGTTGTTAATGCCCAGGGCTTGTGGCCACCTAAAAACCAATATTTTCACAGGGTGAAAAGATTTAGTGATAAACATTTTCCATTAGTTAAATAGGAGAACAAATAAAATATTATAGGATTTTTTTGGGGACAAGGGTCACTTTCACCTATGTTAACACTGGGAAGGTGAATATTTTGGATGAAGACAGTTATTCTGGACATTTCTTCCTCCAATTATTCTGAACATTTCCTCCTCCAATTATTCTGGACATTTCCTCCTCCAATTATTCTGGACATTTCCTCCTCCAATTATTCTGGACATTTCCTCCTCCAATTATTCTGGACATTTCCTCCTCCAATTATTCTGGACATTTCCTCCTCCAATTATTCTGGACATTTCCTCCTCCAATTATTCTGGACATTTCCTCCTCCAATTATTCTGGCCAATTATTCTGGACATTTCCTCCTCCAATTATTCTGGCCAATTATTCTGGACATTTCCTCCTCCAATTATTCTGGACATTTCCTCCTCCAATTATTCTGGACATTTCCTCCT